CCCTGCCGGCCCTGGCGGCTACCTGCCGTGTCCTGCGGGAGGGCGGCAAGGCCAGCGTCACACCGTGCCTCGTGACTGGCCGCCATGGAGCCGGGCTATGGGGTTGGGCCGCCTGGGCGACACGGGGCAGGACGCGCGTGCGTGTGCGTGTGCGTCCCCGCGTGCCCGCTTGGAAGCTGCCGAGCCACGTCTGTGACCGTGGAGTCCTGGAGGAGAGGGCCAGAGCCCCGGGGCCTGCGGGAAGCCGGTGGGGGAATGTGCCTCTCCCTCGGGTGCCTCTCCCTCGGGTGCCTCTCCCTCGGGGAGGCTGCGACCGTGAGGACAGTGTCGTGCTGGCCACACGCATGGACCGCGGAGCGGAGCAGAGCCCTGGTCGGCCAAGTTCATGGGACCTTGATGTCAGCCAGGGTGTGGCGACTCGGCGGCAGAGACAGACTCGGCAGAGCCGGAGCCGAGACACCAGGCGCCGACGGGGGTGGGGGGCGAGGCAGACCCAGGAGACGACTCGAGCTGCCAGAGGGGTTGCCGGGTCACTCTGTGCCCTCGGGGGGGGAGAGCGGCTTAGACGAGACCGAGAGCGTTCGCCGTGAGAAAGGCCGGACACGCCACTGCTACGGCCCAGTGCCCGTTCCCCCAAAGGCACCACAGGGGCAGAGACACGCCAGCGTGGGGGGCAGTCACAGCTCACGTCCCTTGGACGCCCCGAAGTGCAGGGTGGGCAAGGAACTCAGGCCACGGAGCGACAGTCAGACGGGGCAGGGGCCAAGACGGGGCAGGCTGCCGAGCACATTCCCTGAGTCGTTTCTCTAAAAGCCAACGCTGGTTGACACTGGGTGGCGCCCGTGCACAGGGCAGGAGGGCCGGGCCCCAGCGGCCCTAACGGAGCAGAGGCGCTGGCAGACGCGCCCGACCGGTCTGCGGAGACCGACCTGGACGTCTTCACCTCCCACGCTCGTCTCTGGGGGCCCGGAGTGTTGGAGAAAGTTTTTCTTCTCTTGTATCGATTTGGTCAGAATTTTTGACCAAACTGGTGCCACTGTTTGTAAACACAAAAGCACAGACACCGAGGACACCGTGTCCAGCTTCAGCCCCACCCCCTGGCCCCTGGCTCTGGTGGCCCCAGGTTTCCCGTGCTGTGGGAGTGGGCAGCAGGGAGGAGCCCGTCCCCCGCAGGTGCAGGCAGGGGGGCTGCCGGGGCAGGGGGCTTGCCGCTGAGCCCGGAGCCCCTCGCAGCCCCACGCCCGGGGGCCCCGGCAGCCCAGAGCCTAAAGCCCCACACGCGCTTCGTGCCACAGCAGAAACCCCACGTGGCCACAGCTGCCCCCAGGGGCCTGTGCGAGCGACACAGGTCAGAACCTACACCGCATGTCATTTAGGTCCAACTTACTTTACTCCGGGCCACGTCCCCATCCACGGTGTTGATAAAGGTGTTTTTCTCGCCAGTCCAGGTTGGTAAAAAACGAAACGCCGTACTTGCTCTGGACTATCAAAAGGGACATTGTCGACTGCCACAGCTTGACCTGTGACCAGATGCTGAATCACTACGGGAAAACAGCTTCCTTCACCACCAAGGTGAGCGAGGTGGGGGGCCGGGGCAAGGGGGGGGGCACGGGGCGGCGCCTTGCCCCGTGGGAGAGCCGCTCGAGGACTAGTCACCTCGGGATTGGTCCTCAGGACTGCCCCAGCTGTCCTGGCCAGAGGCCTCTGCCCAGCGTCACGTCCAGAGTCCCTTAGCACCCGCTCCGCCCATCCAGAGTCCCGCGTGGGCCTCGCTGTGTCCCCGGGTGGCCCCCCTCTGGGCACACAGGCCAAGCGTGGGACAGGAGGACGGGGGCAGTGACGGGCTCTGCGGGGAGGCTGTGACGTGGTGTCCGCCACACCTGGCACCTCCTGGCCTCACCTCCTCCCAGCCCCACGGCCCCGCCTGGAGGCGGGGGTCCCACATTTACCCCGAGGGCTAGTTCATGGGAGGGGCCTGCCCGGTCAGAGGGGCCTACGGGTACCCACTTGGGACAGGGTGGGTAGGGGACCACCCCCTCGATGGCGGGGATGACGTGGGGGTTCAGGGCCGAGGCTGGCTGCTGCCCCCAGGGCTCCCTATGAGGTCTGTATGTCCTAAGAAGTCTTTGACCACTGGTGCCCTTCAGTGTGGGTGACTCCCGCAGGTGGCCCAGGGTGGCCGGGCTCCCCAGAACCCCAGTGCACTCAGCTCCTCCCCAGCTGGGGTGAGGGGCTGGACCCTGGGCTGTGGGCCCTCCTGCCAAGGTTCTAGCGGTTAGACCACATCCAGGGGCCAGCGTGGTGGGCGTGAGCCGTGGGCCCTACACCCCCCTCACCCCGGGGCCAGAGCCGGGGCCATCAGGGATCTGGGAGGGGACGGCAGCACCCGCCAGCCCAGGTGCCCATGGGAGGCCCTGCCCCTCCTCAGACCCGCCAGGCTTGCCGCTGACTGAGCACGAGCCCAAGGCCCTGGCCAGCACCCTGGGTCACTCAGCCACTGGAAACAGCCGTAAAAGAGTAGATTCTGACACTGTTCAGAGTTAGTAGTTACTTATTCTCTACAGGAAAACACGGCCGGGCCGGCGGGCGTGCGGGCTGGCCCGAGATGGCCAGCATGGACTGCAGGCCTGACGTGCCGCCGTCTCCGGAGATCGGGCTGTGCTTGAACCTGAGGAGCCTGCCGTGGTACGTCCAGGCCGACCCTGACACCTTCTTCCCGCGCTGCTACGGGCTCTGCAGCGAGAGCGAGAAGCAGGGCTTCCTGGGTAAGCGGCTGGCGGCCCGCGCCCCGGGACACCCGCGCACCTCCCCAGGGGCCTGCGGAAGGGGGTGGGACAGGCCTCGGCCACAGGGCCGGGGACGGGGGGTGGGGGGTGGTGTGGGCTGCCTGGGGGCTCAGCTCCGAGCACGTGGTGAGGGCCAGTCCAGGAACTTCCCGGGCAGCATGGGCGATGTAGGAGGGGGAGGCGTAGGAGGCTGAGGGGGCCGCAGAGCTGCCTGTCTGTCCCCAGTGAGGCCGGCCAGCCTGGGGACGGCGCTGGGACCTGGTCTAAGCATCAGGGTGGCTGGGGCAGCTCTGGTCTGTGGCCGAGGGAGGGCTCCTGGAGGCCACAGGGGACAGAGAGCGAAGGGGGGGATGGGAGTGGCCCGTCCGGGGGACCTTCATTTCCTGAGCACCCAACGGGGACGGGGCCGTGGAGACATAGCATCTACTAGGACCCCTGCCCTGAGCCCTGACCCGCCCCGGGGCTCCCGGGAGCCA